GTAAAAAATGGGGGAACTATTGAAATTTCTTCGACACTTAAGCTCTCTAATTGCCTCTATGTTCCCGTTCTATCACATAAACTTCTTTCAATAAGTCACGTAACAAAGGAATTGAATTGCTCAGTTCTCATGCAACCCACTTTTTGTATCTTACAGGATATGAGGACGGGAGCGATCATTGGGCGTGGCACTGAAAGACAAGGGTTGTATTACATGGATGAGGTAACTCAAAAGAGGACCAGAGAACGAGAAGCTTGGCTATGGCACAGGAGGCTGGGGCATCCATCCACTGGTTATTTGCATGTTTTATTTCCTAAATTGTTTCCTTCCAATTGCAAGTCACATTGTGAAACATGTGTGTTAGCTAAGAGTCACCTAAAAACTTTCAAACCAAATAATACAAGGGTCGATTTACCTTTTTCATTGATTCATTTGGATGTGTGGGGCCCTGCTCCAATCATAGGGGGACAAAACTTCCGTTTTTTTGTTGTCTTCGTGGATGATTGCACACGTATGACCTGGGTTTATTTATTAAAAAATAAATCTGAATTCCTTGATAAATTTATCATCTTCTACACCAAGGTCCAAACCCAATTTCTAGAAAACATTCAGGTTTTTCGATCCGACAATGGAGGAGAATTTGTTAATTCTGATATGAAACTTTTTTTTCAAACTAAGGGAATAGTTCATCAAACCACTTGCCCTCATACTCCAGAACAAAATGGAGTCACATAACAGAAAAATCGCATCCTATTAGAAATCACTCGGGCTCTTCTAATAGAATCACAAGTTCCAAAGTCTTTTGGCCATAAGCTCTTATTATGGCCGCATATCTTATCAACCGACTTCCCACTCAAATTCTAAAATCTAAAACCCCTTTGCAAATTCTCACAGATTTTACCAAACCTCCATTCGTTCTTACTCTTGAACCACAAATCTTTGGGTGCACTGTATTCGTTCACATACCTAAATCACACAGATCCAAAATCAACCTGTGTGCTGAGAAATGTGTCTTTGTTGGGTATGGAATCACTCAAAAGGGATACCGATCTTATAATCCAAAAACCCGACACATGTTCACTACTATGAACTGTGAATTTCTTGAAACTAAGTACTACTATGCCTCCCAAAACAGTGGTCAAGGGGAGAGAGATATATTGACACTGACACACTGAGTTGGTTGACATATGTAACATATGAAGAAGGAAGGAGCCACAGTCCACAAAATGAGTCTCCTTTATCGACACAACCCGAAGACCCAAACATCAGTGCCACCCAGAAAACTGCTCCTAACCTGATACCTGAGGTAAGTAATACTCACTCTTCTTATATACTCGAACCCATTAATAACACAACAGGGCAAGGTGAGAGTGTACATGAACAAGAAAGGTTCACCACTCAAGAAGATGCACCAGCAGGACAAAGTGAACATATTGAAGAGCAAGAGAACTTTGAGAATTTTTCCACACAAGAAGACACATCGGGAAGATATGTACTACCACCAAGAGCAAATTGGGGAGTTCCACCGAAAAGATATTCCCCAGAAAAGGAGTCTAGAGGAAGCATATATCCAATGGCTAACATAGCCAAAGGAAATCTATCCGAGAAAGCCAAGGCCTTTGCCTCATCTTTGTATTCTGAGGAAATCCCTACCAATACAGAACAAGCCTTAAAATCAAAGCAATAGAAAGATGCAACGGAAGAAGAAATGAAAGCTCTTACAAAAAACAACACATGGAAAGTGTGTCTTGCCTCCAGGAAAGAGAACTGTCGGGTGTCGGTGTATTTTTAGAATTAAATACAAAACAAGATGGTACAATTGAAAATATAAAGCGAGATTGGTAGCTAAAAGCTATACACAAACATACGGAATTGATTACTCTGAAACTTTTTCTCCGGTTGCAAAAATGAATACAATCAGGGTTCTCCTTTCTGTAGCAGCAAATAAAGGATGGCCCTTACATCAGTTTGGTGTAAAGAATGTTTTCTTACATGGAGAACTAAAGGAAGAAGTTTATATGGAAGATCCACATGGATTCACGGACCAGTTTGGAAAAAGAGAAGTGTGCCTCCTAAAAAAATCTCTCTATGGGTTAAAACAGTCCCCTAGAGCATGGTTTGGGAAGTTCACCTTAGCCATGGAAAACTACGGGTCTAAACAAAGTAACTCAGATCATACTTTGTTTCATAAACGGAGAGACAATCTCATAACCTGCCTAATAATCTATGTCGATGATTTGATTATTACAGGAGATGACAGAGAAGAAATAATCAAACTGGGGAAGAACTTGTTCACAGAATTTGAAATGAAAGATCTAGGGAGACTCAAATATTTCCTTGGATTGAAATTCTAAGATCAGAACAGGGGATCTTCATGCACCAAAAGAAGTATGTTCTCGATTTACTAGCCGGAACCGGTATGGTTGATTGCAAACCAGCAGACACTTCGATGATTGTGAATTAAAAGCTTTATATGGAGGAAAAAACAAACCTTGCCGACAAAGGAAGATACCAACGAATGGTAGAAAAATTGATATATCTCTCACACACCCGACCTGGTATAGCATATGTTGTAGGAATGGTAAGTCAGTTTATGTATCAACCCCAAAAGGCTCACATGGAAGCAGTCTTAAGAATTATAAGATATCTCAAGGGAACGGCAGGGCATGGAGTCTTGTTCAAAACCAAACGGGCATCTTGAAACTTAACTGTATACCAATGCAGATTGGGCAAGGGATAAAGGCAACTGAAGATCCACCACAGGATACTTTACCTTGGTGGAAATCTCGTTACGTGGAGAAGCAAGAAACAAAAGGTGGTGGCCCTTTCAAGTGCATAAGCTGAGTTCCGGGGAATTGCAAGGGGGATAACTGAAGTGCTATGGGTACGAAGGCTCCTAACTGAGATAGGATATCCACCACAAGAAACTAGCAAAATTATGAGTGATAATGAGGCAGCCATTCAAATTTCAAAAAATCCAGTACAACATGATTGAACAAAGCATATAGAAGTTGATCGACACTTCATCAAAGAAAAATTRGAAGTAGAGATCATCACACTTCTGTTTGTTCGATCAGAAGACCAACTTGCCGATATGTTGACAAAGTTGTTAATAAAAGAACCTTGCACGAGTGTCTGGGCAAGCTGAATTTTGAAAATCCCACTATTCAACTTGAGGGGGAGTGTTAAGAGGAAGGTTGGAAAATAATTTTATGGGATCCGCAAGATTGGTGGTTTAGCATCATTTCCCCATTAATTCAGAAGAACAAATATCCGGTTTCCATTCCTCTCCAATTAACAGCCATTCATAGTTGTTTTCTATATTTAGATCATTGTAAATCTGTATTTATAATGGCTGTATTCTTCTTCTTTGTAATATAACTTTTACATAGAATATTACAAACGTTCCCAACCAATCACCTATTGTTAACAGGTTTATAACCCCTTTTGTTCCTATTGACTTGATCATTATCCCTAGCAAATACATCCAAAACTATGATGTTGAACCTACGCAAGAGGCGGTTTTCAAGACTTGTGAACAAGTGAAAAAGCAGATTGAGAAGATGAACGCTAGATACAAATAGAGAGCAAACAGAAATAGGTGCCAACTAGAATTCCAACCGCGTGATCTCGTTTGGCTTAACTTGCACAAGGAAAGGGTTCCAACCAAGTGAAAAAACAAACTTTTCCCTCGAGCAAATGGATCTTTCATAGTCTTGGAACGTTTTGTTGATGTTTCCTACTAAATTAACCTTGCAAGCGACTATGGTGGAGTGTGTGCTATGTTCAATGTGAGTGACTTGCGTATCTCCCTACTTAGATGATGAAAATTTAAGGACAAATTCTTTTCTAGGAGGGAATGAACTAGATGTTGTCGAAACTTTATAACCAAGAACTACCCTTCTGGACAGACTTACCTTATTCTCAATATATGTGAATTTGTGTAATATGAGCCCATTGCCCTAATGCACGGATGACCCTTCGAGTTTCAGATTGAAGACGGACAACAAGACAATTTAAGTCTCATGCGACACTTGGTTTATCGAAGAGTATAGAATTTCAAGCTTACGGTCTCTAGAATCCTAGTGCATGCTAGTAGGCAAAGGTTTTTTAAGTTATTTGATTAGAAGTTCCCTAGTTTTACTAGGTAGATTGTTTTTTAAAAAGGTTTCATAATTCGAGTAGTAAGGATTATTTGGCAGCTAGCTTAAAGACTTTAAATAGGGTCTTTGGTTTGTTTTGTTGGTTGCCGTTTACCAAATGCTTATCCGGTAAGCGCTTACGAGGTCACATTACCTTATCACATGGCAATGATCGAGAAGGACCAAGTGTTTTACCCGGTAAGTTTGGGTGACGACCCTTGCCCGGTAAGTGTTTACCCGGTAAATTGTTGCATACGATGCTTTTTTTATGGATTAAAATCTTACCTGATAAGGTTAGTGATAATGTTGAATCTTACAGGTAAGTATTTAGATAAACAACAGTTAGATTGTGTGAATTTTCTCGGGTTTCTTTCTATTTAAAACCCGTCTAATATTAATCAAGATTTCAACATTAGACGCCTTAGCTGATTTCATCTAAGTTTACTCCCACATCATAATCCAGAATTTCTACTTGGGTCGCTCGTGTCAGTGTAATACGGTTTGATCATTTCAAGAAACACTTTGAATATTACACTGATATATTGCTTGATGAGCTATAGTTCACGAAGGAGTGGCCGACGTTCTTCAAAAATATCAACCAATTAATCAAAAAGAAATGAAAATCTTTTACTCAAACTCATAATGCTACAAGAATCTCAAACATGTTCATTTTCCATATTTGGCCATACATACTGCAGGTTCTAACCATGTTGGTCAAGCGTGAATAACAATGTCTACACAAACAGTTCAAAATCCTGCATTTGATTATTTTTTTTGTTTATTCCTATTCACAGCCCAAATACACATAGTACTATATATATATGTATGTATGTATAGAGAGAGAGAGAGAGAACTAACGCTGCTAAGGTGGGGCTGCTGTCTCCGCCAATGGGGATGTCGACGGCAGAGAGAATCCTCCCATGACGGACGGAATCATGAGCTTTGAGTTCAGTCAAAGACCTTTTGTTGCCAGCAAACTTATGCTGAACCTGGAAAACCACATTCGCTGATGCCAGCATACACAAATGAAGAAGAACAACAACAAATCCTTGTTTATTTAGATCCATATATATCCTACAATTCAATCCAGCATAGTATTCCTTCAAATGGGTAAAATTGATGAACAAATGCGTGTATGCATACACACAAACTTTCTGAAACTTATTTATTCTTTCACGCTTTCGAAAGAATATTTAGTTGGCGGGAAGGAGAGAATGAAGACAAGAAATTCCACATCGGCTGAACCGCTATTTCATAAACCGAAGACCAATGAGAAGCGTTGTTTCTGACAAAAAACAAATAAATTATTATCATATAATTAATGAAACCTATCTCACTAAGTAACGTATCTTTCTAATTCGTTCTCAACTTGTTTTTTTTTCCATTTAGTTTTTCACGAAGTACTAGGTTTCCATCTTCCTTGATGTTCCCATGATCACCATGACTTTGACTTTAAATGATCCCCTAGCTACTAGATATGAGGCACATATGTGTGTGTATATATATGTCTCTGTGCTTTTTTAGATCATTAAATGGAATGTATATATATACGATTTATCCTCTTCGGAGGCATTTGGTTCGCAGATTCTGAAATAATCCAATAAAAGTGGAATGTTGAATTTCATGGAACAAATTTCAATCTCTTATTTTGTTCATTTTCTTTCACAATATGATTATTCAAAGTCCTACAAATTCCACAAATAAAAGAATTTAACATTCCTTAATAACTATATGGTATTTTAATGGAATGAAATTCTCTATTTTTTTAATAACCCTTAACTCAATATACCCTAATCTTATAAAACTCAATAAGACCATGGTCGAAAATTTTCTGGGTTGTGATGTGAAACTACTGGTTTTAAAGGAAACAAAACCATTGAATTCATAAGCGGCTCAAACCTAATAAACCTTGCATATCTCCTCTTAGCCGTAGATTATTGGGATTATTAATATTTTTAGTTAATTAAATGTCTAAAGGGTAGTTTAGGAAATTACAGTTTATTAGTATATTTTTTTTATTTGTCATTTTATTACATAGAAGATATTCATGTGATTGTGTTTCCGGTCATTATCTTTTATGTAGGTTAATTATGGTAATTATCATATTTTCATCATCTTTTCCATTGTGTTGTTCATCTTTATGGGTTAGAATTTTCTGCACTTTTGGAGTAATCGTATTGTTTCATTATGTAATGGATCCTTCTGATTTTGGCAACGAGATTTTTGTTGATGATGTTTTTGGAAGTGGTGTTCATGGTGCAATGGGTCAACTTCTAGCATGTCGACCGAGGATGTTAATTGATGTGATGCGGAAGGAATTTGGTCGCAATGCGGACGAAGAAAAATTTCATAGTTGTAAGTCGACGAACTGATATTCTTCGACGACAATGCAGACGAAGAATCGATATGAACATATATTCTTTCACTACTAGAAACCGAGTTTTAACGACGGAAAAGATCCTTTGCTAATCAGCGACGGATAGGCCAAAAATTCATTTTGTCGCTAATTAGTGAGGGATTTGTGATGGAATAGATTTTTTGGTCTTTCTATCGCTAATCTGTCGCTGATTAGCAAGGGAATTGCGAGAGAAAGTCCAAAAATCCAGCGAAGGATTAACGACGGAACATATTCTTGGACTTTCCGTTGCAAATCCCTCGCTAATCAGGGACGGATTAGCGATGGACACATGGCATCCAACGCTAATTACCCAGGGATTTGCAAGGGATTAGCCTATTTACTTCTTTTCTCATTTTTATGTGTTATATGTACACATGCGTATGTGTATATGTGTATGTGTTGTATGTGTATATAACACGTAAGCCCGTGTTATACATATGTATACGTGATGTGTATATACGTGTGTTGGTTGCTAACCGCGATTGGATCTATGTATATATTGTTGAAGATACATGTATCGGATGATGTATATATGTTTAAATGTATGTATATATATATATATATATATATATATATGAATGTATCGATCAAATTATGTGTGATGTGTGTGTGTTTTAGGCTTTAATGGGTTATATTGGGGTTTAATGGATCTTAGCAGTGGACTGTAATGGTTATATTGGGTTTTAATAAGTCTTGACAGACTGTAATAGATCTATTGGGCTTTGTTTAGTTTTATTGGGCTTAAAGAGTTTCATTGGACTTTATTCAATTTTAATGGATTATAGTAGACTTTAATGGATCAATTAGGTTTTAATGAGTTTTATAGCGTTTTAATTCGTACTGTTGAGATTTATTCTGTTTTATTGGGCTTTAATTCGTTCCGTTGAGCTTTATTCGGTTCTATTAGGTTTTAAAGGGTTCATTGGTCGTTATTCGGTTTTAATAGGTTATAGTGAACTTTAATGGATCAATTGGACCTTCATGAGTATTATTAGGCTTTTATCCGTTCTGGCGGGGCTTTATTCGGTTTTATTCGGCTTTAAATGGTTCATTGGCCTTTATTCGGTTTTAATGTGTTATAGTGTACTTTAATGGATCAATTGGATCTTAATGAGTTTTATTGGGCTATAATGGATCTTAGTGGGTCTTAATGGTCTTATTAAATCCAATAGATATCACATTCTTATATAGTGGATCTTAGTGAGCTTCAAAGGATCAATCGGGCTTTAATGAATCGTAGTGGATTTTAATGGATCTATTGGGCTTTATTTAGTATCATTGGATTTTAATTGGCTCTAACGGTCTTTAATGGGCTATATGGGCTTTAATAGATCTTAGTGGTCTATAATGGTTTCATTGGGCTTTAATGAATCTAATGAATCTATTAGGCTTTATTTAGTATCATTGGGCTGTGATGAACCATATTGGGATTTAATGGATCTTAGTGGATTGTACTGGTTTTATTGGGCTTCATTCAGTATCATTAGTTTTAATGCTTATATTGGGCTTTAATACATTTTAGTGGGCTGTAATGGTTTCATTAGACTTTAATGAATCTATTGGGCTTTATTCTGTATCATTGGACTATGATGGGTTATATTAGACTTTAATGAGCTATATTGCGTTTTAATTGGTTGAATTGGGCTTCAACACGTTCTTACGGGCTTTTATTGGGCTATATTGGGTTTTAATGGGTTATATTGGGTTTTATTCGATTTTATTAGACTTTAATAGATTTTAATTTTGTATTAATTTAAAATTAATTCGATCCACTAACCCAATTGGTCAAGCAACAAGGGTTATTGAAACAAAGCACACCTTGATTCCTAGCTAGCCTAACCAGCCAGAGACATCTTATTCTATCTTTGGTTCTCACAACCAAGGGGAACCACAACCTTGAGTGTGTCCTCTCAAAAAGACGCAATCATTGAAAACATAAGTCTCACTTTTTCCCATGATATGATACGTTCCCAAACAGAAGCATATGTTGTTTCTGCACAAAATTTAGAACCAGAACAAGGTTGTTTAGAGCAACCTCTTTTGATGCACTAGACCAAGTGACTCTTGACAAATCTTTTAGTCCACTTGTGGAATCACATTGTTTTGACTCTGAATTAGAGGATGTCGTACCCCACAATAGAACTCTCAGTGTCTTCATCTGATGATGAAACACAAGATCTAGTGGAATCTTTCTAATCTCAATGCCAAACCAGGGTTACTAGAAGGTGTTGGAACAAAGACTCAATTTGGCCCATGTGTTGGACCAAATGTTTTACTCTCTGACTACGTTATAAAGGATGAGTTCCACTCTTTTGAAAATGGTATTCAGAACATCTTGGAAGAGTTAAAACTCATAATGTCTAAAGCTTAGACATCAACTTCTGCTTCTGACATGGATATTCTTTGTGCATCCATGGCAGTCTTAAAGGCTGAGTCTTCGACAAATACCACAAAACTAGCCCAACTCTTGATGGTGTAGCATAATAATTCAAACATCAATATTTTCACAAAGTTTAGTGAACTCAAGGAGCAAGTACAATCCACAGCTGCCAGTGTACAAAGCCTCTCTGCCCTCAAACAGAACTCACAACGTCAAAAGCCTCAACCTGCCTCTATCTCTGTTGAACAATTTCACAAGTTCACAGAAGATATTAAAAAAATGATCACTTCTACTATGGTTCATGCAACCTCATCATCCCTTCCTGTAGATTATTTCAACAAAGAAGAAATCAATCGCCTTGGCAACATCCTTCTTCAGAAAGTGCATGATATGTCTACCACCTCTGAAACGACTGCCACAACTACTGCTGCAGATGTTAAGGGGTCCATTGCAATTCTTAATTAAATTCAAAGCGGATATGAGTGCTTTTAAGGCCATGTTCAATGTAGAAGACATGTGACATGTTTAAAGCCAAGGTACGAGGAATGCCGTAGAAGAAGAAGAGAAAGGCCAAGAACCCCTCGTGTGGAGAAGAGGGTTCTAAAAAATGAAGTGTGATGATATAGAGGACCCAAATGCTTCTGGTCCTCGTGATAATCATAAGGAGGAGACGTCCATCTCTGTTGTTCCAATGACTTCTATTCTCATGTGTCAATCATAATCCCAACAATAACAAACAGAAGGTATTCCTCAACCTCAACAAAAAGAAGAAGGTACTTTTGTATTTGGAATAGATCATGAGAAAGATGGAAAAGAACCAGAGGGAGATCAAGTCTCTACTGATAAAATGAGGCCAACTCCAGCTCAGATGAAGAGATGCCCATGGCGAGTAACAGAGACACAAGGCCTTCTACTCCTATTATTAAATTAGTCCAAGAAGTGGTCAATGTTGAAGAGGTCTCCTCTGATTCAACTGCAGAGGATGATGCTCTTCTCTAAAAGTAGCCTCAAGACCAACATCTGCTACTTTTGTACCATCACCTGTACCTACAAGTATGCCATCCCCCTCCGCTCCAATGCATTCGATGCCCTCTACCTATGCTCCTCATCATGTTACACATGACAGAGTAAGAGAGATCACAGAACAAATGGGTTTGATGAGAAGACCTAAGCCAAAAGCTAAAGCTGTAGAATCAAAACTGATGGGAAATATTCACCACTATCTCTACAATGACAAAGATGCGGAGATATTCCTTCAACCGAACATACACACTACTGTTCAAGATCAT